TTTTGATACAAATGAGGTAAATGATGTACTTGGTTTAAACCAAGCATGGGGATGATACATACCGCGAGTTTCCTTTAAGAATGGATTTTAAGACAGCTGCTACCAATTCTACCCGGCGTACACCGGGTAGGCGGAGTCAACAGCGGACTCCAGGGGTGCCCAAACTATTGCATACAAGTGTGTTATATCATTAGATTATTATTTATAATGCATTGATGCACATCTTCTTTACAGCAACATCTAAATGTTATAGTTGGCTGAAATAGAGCTGATTTATAACTATTTCACATAAGGCTGTGATTATTTTCATTATGGTTTGATCTGCTTAGCGGATTATTATTATCTACTAATTGTTTAAGTCATTAGCCTGTAAAAAAATGCCTTTAACAATTATCAAAAGTGTTTACATTAATTTTGTGCAAATCTACTACAGCTCTAATTGTAGGCCTGGTTAGTTTAATCTACAAGAAAGAACCACATTTTGTAAGATCTCTATGAAAAAATCTTAATTTGTAAAGTAACTAAAGCAGTAACGGAATAAAAAGTATTCTCTAAAAGATAATGGAGTAAAAGCCAAAAGTATCATAAATGGAATGGGGCTAATCGAGTAGACTACCTCAAATTTGTATTCAGGTACAGTATTCTACCACCGGTCTTTTTGCATAAAGTTTCTTTTAAATCTTGTCTCATTTAATTTAATGTTTTATTTTCTTTTGTCTTGCTTTCGAATTGTACTATACAAATAAACTTGCCTTGTCTTGAATCATAGCTGCCCAGCACATTTGCTGAGTTATTTCAGCGTCTAGCTCCGCCCGCGCTTTTACCTCCAGGGTGTCCTGGGGTTAATAACTAGCGCTACTTTTACCAAATGACAAGATGGGGAATTTCCGCAAACTATAACCTGTGTAGACATGTTATCGAAAGTGACTTATTAATTTTTGATATTAGATGAATACGTTGTTATTGGTAAAATTTAGAGTTATAGGAGACATTAATGTGTTGTAGCGGGTTTTACCTCAGTGTATATACCTCGGACTGCACTTCCGTGTTGTGTTGTCGGATATTTATAACTGAAGCCATATTTCGAGATACTGCAGCTGTTTACGGCATTACACACATTTGCTAAAAGGTCGAGGGGAGTTTCTTAGCTTAGAGTATATTTGGCTGTGCTGCTCGTGAAGACGTTACTGGCCTGGGTTTGTCCCAGGCATGAAGAGAAAAGCAAAAGCTATGGGTACAACTCAAAGCTACGATTCAGCCTCAAGTTGGATAACGTCTGCAGCCACACAACCGCCAACCTCGTCTTCAAATGAAGATGTAAGTGCTTTACATGACTACCCAGTACAAAGTACCTGCTGTGAGACCGTCACGTGACTGCAGCTGGTACAAGTTAACGTGATGGTGAAATCTCAATACTTTCATTTTGGACTTGTGCGTTGGGAGGGCGGGTTTATATTGAGTTTATAAGGGTTCCAGTCTAATGTGTGAGGGTTGACAGTCTGTCCCGAATACCCGCAAGAATATAAACACTGGTCTTGATCGGTGAAATGGTCACAGTTAAACTAACTCACCCAGCAAACCTCAAGGTGAGCATGCTGACAAATGACTGATTAGGCGGACATTAAAACCAATATTAAAAAATTATCGAAATGCTACCTTTGAAGAATACTCAAATTATTAGTGTCTTAAAATATACCAAAACGCCGTGTATAATACAAACAAATTAAAAAAGGATAACAAGTTTAATAAAAAAGATTTAATAAAGATAAAGATTTAAAGCACCACCCCCTTCGACCTGACTGTTAGATAAATTGGGAGAGGGGATTTCAGGTTGAGTGGGACTTTTACGCACAAAAATGACTCACAGCAAAAGGTCAGAGATGTAAAATGCTAAAACAGTAATCATTTCAATTTATTTCTAAAAAGTTATGTAAATACATAACAATGTACAAGTATGAAATTGCTGTTGAAGTCCATGTTTTATGTTAATTAGAGAGAGAAGAGGTTAAATAAATATTAAATATTAAGGAAATCAGAATAAAAGCAAGAGGGAAAAAATTATGTGGTAGTGGATAAAAGACAATAATAGGCGGCAAGGGGTAAATAGATTAGGGGCACTGTCACTGTCATTTAGACAAGACCCTTTAAAAAAAAAAAAATTAAAAAAAAGGGTTTGATTGCATTGGTCCAGAGTCAGCACTAGAAAACTGAACTGATTACTCAAAGCTTCACCTAATCTGTGTCCCTTTTTGTTCTCTATCAGCTGTTCCCTGTTCCTCTTGAGATCCTGGAGGAGATCTTCCTGAATCTTCCTCCTGATCAGGTGATTCGTTCATGTCGGTTGGTATGCCAACAGTGGAAAGAAGTGGCTGACAGTGAATCTTTGTGGAGAGAGAGATGTAGAAGAGAAGGATATCGCCTCCGTGATGCTTCCAGAATACCCAAAGACTGGAGGTTGTTTTACTTCTTGTGCAAGAAGAGAAGAAATCTTCTCAAGAATCCAAGAGGAGAACGTAAGAAGCCACAACAACTATACTTAACATTTCGTGGTGCCAGTGTTTGCCTGCTGAATAAACAATTACCTCCAGAAAATAATGTCTCTTGCAATCCTCATCTTTGTTTTTATAGACAAAATGAAGGGTTGGCAGATATTGGAGAACGGTGGTGATAAGTGGAAAGTAGAGGGACTCATGGTGCCACATCCAGATGAGACAGTCCAGAAAAACTTTGTGACCTCTTATGTGTGAGTATTCACCAGGAAAGATACAGAAATCGTATGGCATTAATTCTATATGGTACATTTACACTGTGTAGTAGGTAAAACACTGTCCCCTCTCTGCAGAATGTGCAGGAAAGCCCAGCTGATTGATTTGGAGAAGGAAGGTTACAACCCTTCATTTATGGATCACTTCCAGCCAGACATCAAAATATCTGATTGGTGAGAACAATACTCATGAAATACGTCTATGTGACTGCTAAATCCATGGCAAATTGTATCAGTCACAGTCACAAGATTTTACAGTGTTAACATCATGTTAGTAACAGTATAGAGCTTCCTAATATTCCTATGACAAAACACTGGAGAGCTTAGTTTCCAAAATGGTTTCAAAAAGATTTATCAAAATGACGTATACAACATTAATCAAGATCCACATTTAACATTGTGTACAGCTAAATAAAATCCTATAAAAATATCTTGAAGTATTCCCTTTGAGAGTTTGCATTAAAGCCTGCTAGATAATATATAACGTAAACACGAGGCTTGTGTAAATCCCAATAAATATGACCTCATTACATCTAATACTGCCCCGCATGAACAGAGGTGTGCTATTTTTACAGCTTGTGGTGCTGAAATGAAGTCTAATAAACTCACAAGATAAATAACACGGATAGGTATTATAACTTATTATAACTGAAGGACTCATCACTTAACCTCATCTTTCTTTTTTTCAGTGAGTATTGAGACACTGTGATTTTACACTCAAAATAAACGTACTCACTTGTCTCATAGTGCAACAGAGAACTTATGTCCATGTTTACAAGACATTTTTTTGCCAAATGAAGATTAACATAAGCTGCTGTGACTGTTGCGCTTAAATGACTAAACAAACAAAACATACTGAAAACCCATAGGAATGTGTGCCCCAACGAACACTGCTGAAAAGAAACTGACCCATAGTTGAACCTAATCGCTGACCCCTGATCTGTGTGCACATGCTTGTGCTTCTGTGTTGCATTAGGTATGCGCCGCGATGGGACTGTGGCAGTGAGTATGACATCTGTGTAGAGTTGCTGAATCAAAGAAAGAGGCCTATCCAGACATTCGCTCCCGAGACTGTCCTCTTTGAGCAGTGGAACGATCAGAAATGGAATCAGGTGTGTACAAAGCATAAAGCGTTAAAAGTTAATTAATACAATGAGGCTGAGAGGAGGTACAAAATGCAGGGACAAATCTAGACTTACTGATATTTGTTTTTCAGATGACCCACGTTTTCCAGAACTATGGACCTGGAGTGAGATACATTCGCTTTACCCATGGAGGCAAGGACACACAGTTCTGGGCAGGATGGTTTGGAATTCGTGTTACTGACAGCTGCGTTGAGATCTGTCCAGCAGCGGACACATAGCTCATCTAATACCTGCTGCCTGCTTTTGCCTGAAATTGCACATATTGTCATATTTGCCTTCTATAATCATCTCTCATTGTGCGTTAATTTTTCTTACATACAATGTATGCATATTAATTATATATTATTATTACCTTTCAGTTTATCTTGCTGATAACTGTTAAAAAAAAAAAAAGAGGTTCGTGGGTAATTATCCACTTTTCCCAAAGAGCATCATACTGGTATCTTTACGGTGAAGGTAGTTGTTTCTATTCTCTACCAAAGAGCCATTATAATCCCTGAGAACGCAGTACAGTTTATCAGTTTGGAAAGCCATGTCACCATCTCATTTTCCATATTCTACATTCCTAATTAAAACAATTTTTAACACTTGAGTCTGAACAAAATCATTTAGGGACAAGAAGCCATGTACGGTATCAAAGTAGCTTTGAGGAACAGACTCTTTGAATGGTCTATCTGGCTCTGATATTCATGTGTACGTCTCAGTTGTTGTAAATGAAAGGTGTTGTGATAACATAAATGAAATATGATTACAAAAGTGGGTGTTTGACAGATTAAATGCTACATGGCTTTGCAAAAGAAAAAAGTCAAAAAACCGACCTTTCAGATCTCAAGTGATTCTGTCTGTATTGCTACTGTAACACTGCAGCACTGTTCTTTGACCCACCAGCCATAGTGGAAATATTCTTTGCACTGCTCTGTAATGTGTAAATTCTGATGCTGTGGATTTGTAATTAAAAAATACTTTTATTTGGCGCAGAACCTGTTGTATTTATAATACATTCTTTTGTATATCTAGTCCCTCAGTCATCTGTGGAAAATGTATTCAAGTTCATAGACTTTATTTATGTAATCATCACAACAGACAACATGTAGTATTTGAAGTTAGGTTTATTCATAATACTGGTAATACTGGTTTATTGTGATGCTTTATCACAAGCAAGATACAGTACAACTTTGATGCCAAATTGAATAATCGTGGTCCAAGAAACTTATTTTCCTGGTTAATTTAATCTGTGTCATGTAAGCTTTTTTAAATCTCAGTATCAATAATGCACACATTTTATTCAGTCAATAAGTATATTCTCACTATATTTACAAATCAAATTCAAGCCCACCATCTAGGCATGGATAGAGTAAAAGACAAATGCAAATAGTTGTAGTTCAGTCATCTTCACAATCTTCACAGGATCTCAAACTATGTATAGCATTTTATAAGAACTGTCACAATGTGGTGCTATTTGACTTAATGATGCTGCAGAGTAGCAGCATGTTCAGTTTACAAAATAAGAAATTAGCCTGGGGTTATAAACTGAAAAGCTCAGACAAAGTTCTGGTATTGCAACTTTTAAGTGTTAAGGGCATACATCACCTTCTTGTTAACTCATATCTTACAAAAAGGAAATGACAGGGAAATCATTGTGCTCAAAGTCTGTGCATGTCGTTACTTAAAATGACAGTTACTGTTTGTGATAGATGACTTCCAATGGAATGTTCACACTGTATTTAAAACTCAAGCTCCATGTATTTCCTACTTGCCTGTCAGGCTCTGTGGATCTCTGCTTTGTCAGGCGTCAATTTATCAAGTGTTCTTTAAGCAAACTAGAACTACAATGGAGCATAGCCTAGAAATGTCATATTACGTCAGATAGTTCTTAGATCTTCTAGGAGACTATGTTGACACTGACAGAGTGAAACATAGGGGCTCCTACTAACCCTTTGAAAGTTGTGTCAATTCTTAAAAATGCCTGGAAAACAAAACATCTGAGTTCTATGACTTAAGCTGGATCTGTATTGCTATATACTTCATCAGTGATGGAGGAAAAACGCAGTGTCGACCAAAGGCAGTCTTGTGTGCCAGGGTTGAACATACAGTATAAATGATTAACTTTAAGGAAATTACTTGAAAAGCAAGAAACAGATATGGGTCGCTCTAATACAGAATTTCAGCATCTCACTAACCAATCATTATAAGCTTGTTTGCGTTTTACAGGGCACTCGATACAACAGTTAGATCCACTAAAATACCATTCCATAGTCAGTTCTTTCAGAGTAGCTCTTCTGAAAAATAAACTTAACATGTGGTAAAACTGAAATATTATCTAATGATGTTGCCCACAGTTTGCTGATACACTTTTAAGTATTCAGTGTTGACATCATGTAAGACCATTTCAATGGTATCAAATCATCACAAACAGCATCAAATGTTACTCAATCTTAAAATCATGTTCAGCACATTGGCTATGTATTTAGGTTAAGTCAGTCAGAAGGCAAATATTTCATGATATCTCAACTCATGTTGGAATGTGCTTGTGCAGGAAACCTCTTACTGTACTGTTAACCTAGATTTGGGAACTGGTGTGGAGGAGGCTGCGATGAAACTTAGAGCAGAACACATTTACGTCTTTTCTTAGGTTCAGGAGGCTCCAGGGCAGCCAGTATTGCCTCATCAAACACATTCTTTAATCCTTTCTGTGGAAACAAAATATTAATATTCAAAACAGAGCTATGTTCCAAACACAAATTAACATCTTCAGGGAACTAATTGCAAAAGAACGCTGAGTAGAAAGGGAGCAGGGCGATCAAAATTTTCCTTTATTCAAATAACATTATACAAGACTCTCCTTATGATCAAGTTGTCTGAGTAAAGACAAAAGCCCATGGAAAATTTAGATGCTGCAGTAGAAAAAAATGATTACTGTCTAAGACAGAATGTAGCATAAATGCTATGTAGGGTACAACTGATGCTGAAGAGCTCAATATTGAATTTATAACAGAATATCAATAAAAAAACAAAAACAAAACAAAACTCAGTCATGTCCAGTTACACAACCTTGCACACACGGTGCTGACAACAGGGAGGAGAAAGATTGGCACTTTTGTCATATTAGGCAGCATGGACAATTGTGATTAGGCCAACTTGAAAAGAAAGCACACATGAACAGAAGGAATAAAGTTAATGGGCACAAAGTTTTTAAGTTTAAAAGAGCGTTGTGATTATTTTAGTGACAGACAAATCTTTACAATGAGTAAGCAGCAGACGATCAAGAGGCAAAGCAAGATGCACGAAGACATCAGAACAAACAGCATTTTCTCTTTCTCTGAGTTTCAGGGGGCTCTAAAGCAGCTAGGATAGCCTCATCAAATACGTTCTTCAGTCCCCGCTACAGAAAGAGGAAAAGAGGAAAGAAAGACAGGCACACAACACAGAGTTAGATGGAGTTTGTAGCTAAATGCTGTTAGCAAGAGACAAGGCAAAGCATTTCCACCCTTGTTAGGAAACACATTTAAACACATGCTTGTCACACCAGCTTTACGGGTTGTTTAATGGGAGACCTTACCTGTGTTAGGGCTGAGCACTCAACATATTTGACTGCCTTAAGGTCACGAGCCAGCTTTTCTGCTGTCTCCGGGGTGATTGGCTTCTGTTTATTCTTGGCTAACTTCTCCACTGTGGAGGGGTCATCACGCAGGTCGATCTGAGTGCCTACCAACAGGAACGGGGTCTTGGGACAGTGGTGAGTTATTTCAGGAACCCACTGGAGGAAAAAAAAATGAACAAAACACTCATCAACAATGGACAAATGATGCTACATGTATGCAACTATGCATGATAATGCTATGAAGTCTGAAAAATTACATTGTTGTAGATTGAGGGGAGGGGATATAAGTAGATAAGATGAAAGAGCAGAAAGGGGTTATGGGTTTTTTGATAGAGAAAATAAGGAAGGAGAACATTTTACTTAACTACAACCTTTGTTGACATGGTACTAAACTTGTTCAGTAATGGAACACAATATTATAATACAATTTGTACATACAGTATATATGTGTGAATGTCAGTAGTTGTATGTCTGTTCATGTCAGGTATAAATCATTATTTAGTTTCATTTATTTATTCCCCTTTTTCTAGGTCATTTGGTCTTAAACAACAACAAATAAATAAACTTTTAAAAATTGATTGTAACCACCATGAACAGAACTTCCTATGACTAGGTCAGAAACTAAACAAGATACACAGGTTAGACAGAGATTTGCCTTCTGCCTTCTGAAAGCATGCATTGCGTGACTGAATCTTATTCAAAAACCTAATACTCATGTTCTGTTCTTCATATTTAAAACAGTATCACAAGGTTTAATTGTTTTCCTTGGTATGTGGATAAAAAATGCCTTCTAGTTTTTATGATGGACGCAGCAACGAGAAGAAATAACCAACAGCACAATAAGAGCTGCAGTTAGAGCGTACATCAAACAACACTTTGTCCTTCAGTTTTTGCACATATTCAAACCCATGTAAAAACATGGCCTTGTAGAAACACAAGACAAAAAAAAGAAGAAGAAAAAAAAAAGACAATTTGTAAACGGCATTTAACACTGACAACAGTTATGCATTAGATTGAAGCACGACACAGAATTAAAAAAAAAACAAAGTTTAAATTATTTATTTCCTTTGTGGTCCTGACCTGCCCCAAATCATGACAGCAAGAAGGACAGCTGTGCCCCTGCCTACTGTTGCAAGTTGTGACATGCAGAATATACTGTACTACAAGTTGTACACATTTACTAAAATACATTCTAAATACATTCACCCGTCTCTCCTCTTTCCCGTTCATTGAACAAAAAGTTTTCACACCCATTTTTAAAAACTGTAATGGATAGGGAAGATCACACATCATCATCAAATTTTAGCCCCAAACACTAAAAGAATTTAGATCCAAACAGAACTTTGAATTTTGACTATACCTTGTATTCTACCGATGCTGCTTTCTAGTATGCTCAAACACCTGTAAATAGTCTGTTGCCTGGCCAGTTAGGAATGTATATACATGACTTGCAGCTAGATAGTGAAGTCTGAATATTGTATGTTTAATTAAGTGTATAGGTGGGCTCCTAAGCTACACTAATGTGTTCTTAGAGAATGTATAATTTAGTGTTATCTGTTTTACCACTATTATAGCATCATGTCTTTCATGTGTTGTCTGCTGTGGCCTGACTGACTGTGTCTCATGTTACGGTATTTGTCATGAGGAATCAAACTAACTGCCCCTCTGGGGATCAGTTAAGTTCTTAGATTTGTAGGTAAGTAACACCACTGCCATTAAATACACATTTTGTACTCACCTTTTCTTTAACATTCTCAAACGAGGAAGGTGAAACAACTGAGAAACAGACTAAGAAGACATCTGTCTGTGGGTAGCTTAGTGGTCGTAACCTGTCATAATCCTCCTGACCTATAGAGAGACCACACAACAAATTAATTTACCTCGTGACAGACTAATAACTCTACATCTTTCAATTAGAATGTAATTGAATTGAGACAGAAATAAATAAACATACCTGCTGTATCAAATAAGCCAAGGGTGTAGGGTTCACCCCCGATCATTACAGTTACTGCATAGTTGTCAAACACCTGTAACAAAAGAATGAATGGCATTCAGGAATATTTCTTACTGTGCTGACCATGTTGACTGTGTTGTTGACTGTCACCATGCATCCAATTGTGAAAATACACCAAACTTACTTACTGTTGGTACATACTCAGAGGGGAATTTGTTGGTGGTGTATGAAATCAATAGGCAGGTTTTTCCTACTGCTCCATCACCCACCACCACACATTTGATAGTCTGCATCTCTGTGCTTTCTGATTCAGCTGGAACGTCAGCTGCAGGGAGGGGTAATAACTAATTAATATTTTCAAACCATACAAACGTTAGCCCCGAAACAATTTCAGGTTAATTAAGGGTTAATGACAGCTTGGATTAATCTGAGGGGAGAAGCTGTTTCCTATCATTAACTAGATAAGTGTCACACCCCACCACCAACACTGTCTGGAGGCTAACGTTGGCTAATGACAACGTTACTCACTAGCTGACGCTTGGTCAATTTTAATTACCTTACTAACTTTAGTGATAGGATAGAACAATAGGACTATAACACAGTGTGACACTATCCACTTTAACAACCGCGTAACCGTAATGAAGATGAACATTTGTTTGTGTATTGGCTAGCAAGCTAAGCTAACGCAGCGCTAGCAATCACTAGACAATGCTAGCTAGTTAGCCAGTTAGCAGCCGGACGCTGGCTTGTAAACGAACGAGTTCCAGCTAACAAGATGAAGCCTGAAACAAATGTCATAACTGGTATTTGGTAAGTAACCACACACTTAGATGTCGGAAAAATGTTTGAAGTACGTACCAGTGTCCCTCCGTATTTCTGCTCTTTAACGTTAGCTGTCTATTTCGCCGGGCGTTGGCACCAGCGAGCAGCAACTTGGTTCAGTACTTCCACTACCACTGTCAAGCTAGACAGAATAACACCGGATATTACCTTCAAAGTAAAACATCAAAAGCAAAATCTGACGTTATATATTATACAAGATGAGCACCAATGTAGATATAATGAAGTCAAGATTCAATCTAAAATGATTAATTCAGGGTATTTGCACCCTGTATGTAGTGTTTTTATAGATCTTATCCATACGAGTCTTCACTTCTTTCCTCCTTATGCTTTTACATTGAAAGCTAAAATCCTCTGGCTATGTTGGCTTTCTTGATACAAGTTGAGGTTGCAGAAGTGGTGACATCACCTTCTCAGTCCCTCATATCCTGCATCTTCTCCTGAATCTGCTCTGCCACACAGTATATCAAGCTATTCTGTATATTATTAATATGGTATATAGATTTAGATTAGATAGAAAAGGATATGAGAAATTTCACTTTTAATTTAGCTGAATAGGTCTGAGTGACCTGAAAAAAAAACATTGTACAAATTACATACTTATAAAATACTTACTGGTTCCTAGTTATACTTAGGATATATGTAAGTACATTAGAAGAACATAAAACATTACGTTACATTACTTTATTAGTTTTGTCTCCTTGGTTGACAATAAAAACCTTCCATAGTTGTTCATTTGAGGAAGGATACATTTGTTTTCTACACCACTGAAAATGTTATGAGCAGCTGCAGTTCTGGACTAACATTCCTGTTAGGAGCAAATTTTCATAAATGTAGATCCATTTCTTGACTTGTCCTTATGATACATGCAGTATGTCCTTTGAATATTAACACATACAATAAAGTACGAGAGGCATTAATAAATCCCTGAAGCGTAACTGTCACCTGTAAAATTTGAGTAGCTACCCCTCTATTATATTGTATTTTCTCCCATCTACATGCAATAATGTTTCTTAATAAACTTCAACAGTTATTTTACATTACACAGTAAGAACAAGGTATTTGGGTTGTAATATCAAGTGTCGACTGCTCTCCCTTAAGAACAAGGTTGTTAACACAGTTTTCCACAAATTTCAGTTTTGTTTCTCCAGTAGTATTCATTGTATTTACAAAAATACAGGGTACCTTTAAAAATAAGAGTATGATTTATTTATCCTTTGCTCTAAAATTGCCAATTGTTACTCCCTTGTTCCCCATATGTCTTAGCGCCGAAATGAATACATTACAATTTCTTTACACCAGTTTTGTTATCTGGTTGTTGACATAATTCTATAATATGTTTGGACTTTAGCTACATTGCTTTTGGCCTTTTTCACAGAAGATGTTTTGAAATGTCACAGAGGGAAAAGCATAGGTGTAAATTATAAAATCAATAATGATAGCTGAATTCCATTTACTTGCTTCAGTTTCAGGGTCCTGCCATTGTTCTTGTGGCTTACTGGGACACTTGAACAGAACTGAGCCATCATTGATGTTACAAGTAACACCTGTTCTTCTCCTACTATGACAAGTCAAGGTTGTTTCTAAAGGTTTGCCCACTCCCAATTACATATACGAGAATGATGAAATATCAAAAACAATCTATAATGCAAACCAATACAGCATCACCACAGACTAAATACTTCACTACCTCTCTGATATGCATAAACTGAACATCACATGCGTCACAGAAATAAGATTAAATGCAGGGTTATTGCATTATATTATACAAGTGTGGATAATAAACTGTTAATACTAGTCTGTATGCTGTTCTATGACCAGCAGACACAATTATCCAACTTCTTGCAGCAGGGTAATGCAATCTGCTTGGCAAGGATCATAAATCATCACCGCCTCTCTTTGAGAATATAATATATAACATTTTCAGGGGAATTAAAACATAATTTACCTTTGATTGTAACTGAAAATCAACAGTTTACATAAATTATCTTGGACAGAAACACTCCATCTCAGATGTAGGTGTGATTTTCTAAGTCAGTGTGTGTGTGTGTGTGTCTATTAATGTGAGGAAACTATGCCTCTGTGATCCTTCCTTAAATTACTGAAAAACAGGGGAGTACATCACCACTATTCAATGTCATAGCAACATTTCACAAAAAACAGGCCTTCATTTATGCATGAAGTGATTTTTATTCTGCCTTCTATTTTCAGATCTTTGGAGTACAACACTGACAGATTTAGAAGAACCCCTAGAAACTGGTGGTTAAATGCAAATGAACACCACCTTTATGACCATTCATATACGATCTGCAGATAAATTAAATAAAGGCCAAGAGCCTCAGTTCTCCAGAGGTACTAATTTTGGATATTCAGTTGAGCCCAAAGTTATCTTAGGCCCTGGACACTGAAATTAATGAGGTTTTAATCAGTTAAATACAAGGGAAAAAAGTGGCTGAAAGCCAATTTTTCACTTGGTTTGTTTTTTGGTTTAATTCACACACTGATAGAGAGTCCTCTGGAGGAATGGTTTTGTAACCTTAGTATTAACACATTTATAATTCACCCATGATTTACACTCATGGTGTTACCTAACTTTCAGTCATAAATGTTTGAGTTTTGATATTGAAATTGTTGCACACATATTTTCCTGGCACCTTTTATCCTCCACACAGCGATGTGTATTGATGCCAGACTACACAACATTAAAATAAAGAGGATCCAACGTAGAGTCGCCCACCATCTAGTTAAAAGAAAAAAAGAGATGACCTGGGATAAGAACCAGTTACTTTTCATGTACATGGCACATTATTGTACATTTACTGTAGTCCGTGTTTTATCAGTGTGTCACTCTCACCGCATTTCATCATGTTCCAATGAGGAAGTGGTTGGTGTGGTGACGTTAGTTGTTACCACTGCAGAAGAAAAAACACTGTGCATGAAATGTTAAACACTGACTGATCAAACCTGTCTCAGGGAAATCATATGTATATCAAACAACAACTATATAGCCCTACTACTAATATTTCCCATTATGTGGGGCCAATATAAACTTTTTTCATTAAATATCATGTTGCTCTGCTTACATGAGAACATGAAATACATTTTGGTACATTTCAACTATGCAATTAAACACTACACTCATTTTTGAAAAACTTAGTGTAAAAACATAATTTCAAACCAAACAAAATGTTTTAAGGGAAGTTAGTCAAGTATGGAGTCACTTATATGAGCTTTTGTCTTTCCGAGTTATCAAATCAGTACTATCAAAGCAAGAATTGTATTTCATCTGATGAAGTGTCTGAGGTAACCCAGCCGAAGCATACCTGTGTGGGAGACTGAGAGCCTGACACGACTGTAGATGTTCCTTCCAGATGTGGCGATGACACACCAGTAGAAATCTTCATCACTGTCTCTGAGTGAAGTCATAGTTACAGTGAAGACTCCTGCCTCCTTATCATCAGCAATGGAGTTTCTGTTACTGGGTCGGTTCTTGGGTGTTTTCACCACTATGGTACACAGGTCATACACCAGTCCTTTGCACCAGTACTTTGTGTTTTCTCTGAACTGATGCTCATACTGACAAGAGACTGTCACAGATCCTCCGTATGGTGCAGTTACCTTCTCTGGGGCTGACAGCTGAACCGAGTCCACTGTATGCTTTGTTAGCCAGATAAGACACAGAACTGTGACTGCAAAATGCAATGAAAAAAAAACACAACCAAACATTTCACAACATGTTAGTCAATCAAACCACCCATTCTTTCCATGTTAAACCACCATTACAAACCTATAGAAGTGTTTTCAAAAAATTACCATCAAAGAAGCCAACAAACATCCCCGTGGTCTTCATGATGGGAAAGTAATGTGAAGTAGAAAAATGACACAAATAGATGCTTCGTCTTCCTCTTCCTCTATGTGGTAGGGTTGTGCAACCAGGTAATAGATAGAATTGCGAGGAAAATACGTATGCTGTCAGTGTTTATTTGCATAGGTTTGTTTTTGTATGGGAACTATTGTGTTTACATCCTATGTTAATGTTTTCCCAGTGCATTTTGTCCCTCTGTGTAAACTACTGCAGAGTGAGAATTATAAAGCCAGTTTATTTAGAGCAACAGCAGGTGGCGCTAAAGTCCAAACTGTCAGAAGGATTTTTTTTCCTTTCCAGAATATCTACTCCAGTGTAGCATAGCCTAATCAGACTTTGTAAAACATTTAGAAAATCCATTTTGCAGGTACAATTTGCAGTGGGACAAACAATATGATCTTTTGTCCTATTGCTTTACATCCATTGCATCTGTATGTAGTAAGCCCTGAGTATTTTCTCAGGGCTTCCTTCCTATGATTTGAATCTTTGCCATTTTGCAACAGAGCACATTTGATGCCAGTATTATTATTAAACATTATGCTTCAATATTTCACATAGTTATCCCATTCACAGCTGTTGTCTTTCTGAGGTGCAGTTCAGTCTAATATACTTGAGTGGACTTTATATAGGTGTAAATATTTCACAGTTCAGATGTATTGTAGTTGTTTTACGTCATCTTGATCTTTATAGATATTTATTTCTGCTAACAAATTTCTTTATTATAGTATCTATGATAGGATATGTTAATTTGATTTTATTTTTAGGAGAATTGTGTAGATAACAAACAACAAAGTAAGACATATCACAGTTGAGTAATATGTCTTGATTGTGTCAGACAGCCATAGTATGAGATTGTATCAGTTTGCATTTAGACTGACATGTCTTTCAACTTCATGCAACATATTTAAAAACATTACTTTTTATTGAAATCTATAAACTTTTCAGGATGATTTTCCACTTTTAATGAATTATCACAATAGTATAGAGAATAGATTTTCTGAGCTCAAGATGGAACTTGAATGACGTTAATGTGGCCTGAGTCAAGGGGTCAGTCCAGAGAGGTAAAAAACAGAACTGTGCTGGTGAAACATGAAATGAAATGGCACAGAGGTTGCAACACCCAGCCACCAAAGTCTGATTTCGAAAACTATGACTTTTTCCAAAAACCTATACATAGGGTTGTTCTGCAAAATGTGACATATCACTTCTGTCTCTTTTTTGATATGGAACTCCTATTATGTTTGCAAGTATTTAAGTTACTGATGAATGAGATCACAGTGTTAGTATTCTTCTATATGATATGTGAGAGATTAGCCTTTGATTTACACCTCGGAGAAGGAATTCTCAAGTAAGCTATTAAATGAACTGTCCTGTGATGATTAAGTGACCTTGGTAAGAATTTAAATTGGATCATCATTAATTCACATTTAACTAAGAAAATCAGGCGGTCAATGAAACATCCCATTCCCAGGACCCTTGACATATGCCCAAACATTTTATTTAATTGTTGAGACACACCATGAAAAGCAGAAGTAGTTGTTTCATAAAAGCAAATGACATTACTTCTACTGCTAGGCTTGGCAAGGCCGAATCGTTTTTTCCGCTGACAGCAGCATATCTTTCTTCAAATATTACACAAACTGTTGAAGACAAACAAGGCTGCATGATAATGAAAGCAAAAATGATTAGATAAATTCTCCATTCACACTGTGAATGGTTCTGATTTTAATGTAAATCCCGACACATGACATATCATGATCCTCTTTTCAACCTGTTTAGTGATGTCAAACATATTTATCATCAAGTCTGCAGTCTTAATAGTTTTCCAAAGGCAATTTTGTCCAGTGTTTATATGAGTCGACTGCAAACATTTAATGTCACCACTCAACAGAAACATTTACTGCATGACATGAAAAGCACATTTGATAAGATCTGATTGATCTTATTCATTCTCTTTATTCAAATCACAAAAGAAAATCTGTATTTCCTCTTGTTTTGCTGCGTCTCCATGGTAAAGATATATACAAAATTTCAACATTTAAAATTTGTTCTTTCTTATCAGCTCTTGGATTAGGATTTTCATTACAATTGGACCAATAAGGCATAACTGGGGAACTACACTGTATCTACTTCCCCAAACAAATATTTGTGACACATTTAACATTGTTGTTTTGGGCAATTTGTGGGGATTTTATTTAAACATGTGTCAGGTCTATTTGCTGCAGTACTCTAAACTGTATTTGCTCTGGATAAATGAGACCTTCACACAAGGAGAAAGTGTGCGTGTGCAGAATATGCCTGAAAGCATGATAAGTAATCACATATTACTCCTTAAGTGAGCACATTTGATAATCTTCTCTGAAACAATCATTTTTCAAATAAACACCTATTTTGGCATATGTCCCACTTTTGTTACGTTTGAACATACTGGGTGTGTATAAAAATGAGTGCACCAGTTAGTTGACCTCCTTGTACAAGGTAGTCATGGGCAAAGTAGTGTTTGTGACGGGTAAGTCTGTGCTGAAATGTTTCTCTCTTTTATATGCCGTAGATGGCTTCCTGAGAATTGCTATTTCTCTGATTTGGATGGACTTTACATCACATGAATTTTTAGGTTGCAATTTTAGCATTTTTTTCACCACTTATTTCTTTTGCCCAAAGATAACTATGTATTTTCTTAACTTTACAGCTCTGGCCCTGCTGCTGCACGTGCAGCTTGGTAAGCGATTTATGAATATGATATACAGTGCATATGTTTATTCTTCTTTTTATGGTTGGAAAATTGCATTGCATGGTGTGTTTGGTCCATAAATAATGAATTTCTTATGTATCAAAGGCTCATCCTTCATACTGTCATGCTACTTCACAAACTGGGCACAGTACAGACCACCTCCAACCATTTATATGCCCAATGACATCGACCCATGCCTGTGTACCCATCTTCTGTATGCCTTTGCCACCATTAAGAACGGCCAACTGGCCACCTATGAGTGGAATGATGTGGAACTCTACAGTCAGTTCAATGGCCTCAAGAACATGTGAGTCAATAAAAAAAATATGTTTTCCCTTGTATAAAAGGAAATAATTCCCATAAACAACAATAAAGTTACAACAATAAAGCACAAGTGTTTTTAGTTGCCACTAAAGAGTAAAAACTTCTGATTCCTTGGCAGGAATGGCAACCTGAAGACTCTTCTGTCTGTTGGAGGATGGAACTTTGGCTCTGCAGGGTGAGATAATCTGTAGAAATCTGCAGACTTGGCACTCTAAACAATGAGGATCATCCGCTTTAATACATTTCTCTTCCTGCACTATAGTTTCTCACAAATGGTGTCAAGTCCTGCCAACCGTCAGACCTTCATCAAGTCAGTAATTTCATTCCTGAGGAAGTATGAGTTTGATGGGCTTGACATTGACTGGGAGTATCCAGCCAACAGAGGAAGCCCCCCTGAGGATAAGCAGTACTACGCTGTTTTCCTGGAGGTTTGTTCGCCATGTCTTGTTTTCTGTTTAGATTCCACTTTAACTTTTTCTCTCTTAACTAATAAAACTGTTGAAACTTGTCTCAATTTTTTTCGGCCACACTAAATGTTTCCACAGAGCCTTGATGAATAAAAGATACACAAAAGCAAAACAATTCACAATCTGACCATGTTACAAATCATGGATTATGAGTCCTGGAGTTCAGTTAACACTAAATATTTTATATGTGTTGGCATTCAACAGGAGATGAGAGCTGCCTTTGAGAATGAGGCCAAGCAGAGCAACAGGGCTCGTCTTCTGATGTCTGCTGCTGTGTCGGCTGGAAAGGACACCATTGATTCTGCTTATCAGATTCCCAAGCTTGGACAGTAAGCATTTTAAGCAATATTTGTGGTGTGTCCAATCTTAGACACAGCAGCATAATGGGTCCCTGTTAAATACAACTCTATACTCTAAAATTAATTATCTAAAGTTTGTTAAAGTTGGTGTGGTAACCTCTCACTCTGTTTGTTTTCCACATCCAGGGCCCTGGATATGATCAATGTCATGTCCTATGATTTCCATGGCTCTTGGGACCGTATTACTGGTGAATGTAGCCCCCTGTTTAGAGGCCCTGAGGACCAGGGTGGCTTCATCTATTTCAATGTGGTGAGTACTTGAACATCCTCATGGAAATTGTATTCATTTGCCAAAATTGGATGTGTGGAAAGAATATACATGCAGTTTGTCAGTAAATCCACATCTGCAACTTTTATCTGCAACTACAATGAAGCATCCACAAAATCTATAGTATCAGAGCCATGTATATTAACAATTCCTTCGTTCCAGGACTATTCCATGAACTACTGGAAGAGCCAGGGAGCCCCAGCTGAGAAGCTGATTGTTGGTTTCCCCACATATGGTAACACATTCACTCTAAGGAACCCTGCTAACCATGGTGTTGGAGCACCTGTTTCTGGTGCTGGAACTCCAGGAAAGTACACACAAGAGGCTGGAGAACTGGCTTACTTTGAGGTATGCTTTCTTGTTACTGGTAAAAAAGAAAAAGCTTGAATGTTAATGGTGGCTAATTGTTACTCATATCCTTCTGGGTTGCTTTATCATATTATCAGAGACTCCAGATGAAGACGTGAATGAGCTCCGATTCTGTTGTACTGACACATTGCTTTGTGAAATTGCAGATCTGTGGCTTTTTGAAAGATGGAGCAACTCAGGTTTGGAACCAGGCCCAGGATGTGCCATATGCCTACAAGGGAAACCAGTGGGTGGGCTATGACAACATCAAGAGCTTTCAGATCAAGGTAGTAGACATGCACAGAATACTTGTTTTATCATTTCTCAGGCCAATCTGTTTGGATGTGATGAATTACCTATGGGCTAAAAATGCTTCCCAATCCCCATAACCTGTCAAAACCTATATTAATTATTATAAAATGATGCCCCCTTCTCTGTATGTGGAGCCTTGCTGCAGTTATCAGCAAACACTGTGTCATGGCCTTGTGATAAGGTTATGTCGATTCAAAAGCTGTCTACAACACCCCCTCCTGGCTGTCTGTAGGTTGACTGGCTGAAGAAGAGTGACTTAGGAGGTGCCATGGTGTGGACAATTGATATGGATGACTACTTGGGCACTTTCTGTAACCAGGGAAAATACCCACTGATTAATGTTCTCAAAAAGGGCCTTAATCTGGACCAAGCATGTAAGACCTTTAATACCCTTATTGTTGACAATCAAGGTGAAATCCATTCGGTTTTTACCAAAAAATCCTTTCATTAAAGAATTAATTTGTGGTGTTTTTTAGCTTGCGCCCCTCCTGCCACACGACTTCCTCCAATTGCCGGAGTGAGCACGACTCCTGGAGACAGCTCTGGAGGAAGCTCCGGCGGGGGCTCCAGTGGCGGCAGCTCTTCCGGTGGGGGCTCCGGCACCAGCGGCATGGACAGTGGGTTCTGTGCTGGAAAGGCCAACGGCATGTATGCTGACCCAACAAACAAGAACCAGTTCTACAACTGCAGTGGGGGAAAAACCTACTTTGAGAACTGTGCTGCTGGTCTGGTCTTTGACAGCTCTTGTTCTTGTTGCAACTGGTCCTAAAGCTGAAGTTATAGATTGACTGGTTAACTGCTCAAAGGCGGGTTGAGTTTGTTTTACATTTGTTCTTAGTTCTCAGAGCCTAACTACTTTGAGTACAAAGAACATCCCTTCACATGTTGGGTGTTAAACAATGTAAACCCCGATGCTGTCACTTTGAATAGTTCCTTTTGAAAGCAAAGACAAATAAACATTTGAATTGTGTCGTATGTATCCCCAGTCTTTTCTTTATCAGTTAAAAAATGAGGTGTCAGGATTTTGTTCATGAATGAAAAAAAACTACACTATGTTCACTGTCTCAGTATAACCGTTTTAATAGACATATTATACGGTATGTATATTTCCCTTTACATATGCCAAAATACATAAAAACAATATGAAAAAAAAGGTGTAGTTTCTGTGGCAAACTGCTGATATAATCATTATCCTTGTATTGTAAATTTCAAACCCTAATGTAATATAAAACAGAACACAATTTGATGAACACTGTCTGCGATTCACAAAATAGAAAAAACAATCTGAGTTTGAACCCTAACTTCTAAGAGTAGCACACTATCTACATTGCATCTACCAAGTCATTTCACAGTGCTCATTTTGGTAGGCTTTTGGTAAATCACAAGTCTTTGATGACAAATCGTCTCCCACAGTAACAAGTAAAGGATAAAACACAGCTGGTGGTCCCCTCAGCTGCTCTCTTTCTCCTCTTTCTGTTCTGTTTTGGCAGATCCATTCTGCTCTGCCACTGGTTCCTCCACCATGGCAGACTTTTTCGATGTTCCTGTTGGGTTGCATGGGGAGGTGGTGTTGGGGATGATTAGTGTTAAATGAATGAAAACAAACCTTCAGCAGCAGTGTTTGAAGGTGCTGGTTGATACTGTACCCGTGAGGTAATTTCTGTGCATTCGATGGAACAGCAGGAGACCAATGAAGAGGATAAATCCAATGCAGGCGATTATCATTCCGCACAGCAGGAAGCTGTAGCTGCCTTCAGTCTGGATAATCTAGGGATGAGACGGCAACATTAAACTACTGAACATGAATCTAAATCTCCACTGGCCTTGTTTCTGCAATTATGAGCCTATTTCACTTCTTTGACACACACTCTATTTTGATAATAATGAAGTTACTCAACAGACTTACTGAGCCAACCAGAACCTGCATTACCATCTCTCCCATCCCCGCACTTGTCACCAGGACTGAGGTTGCACATCCTGCAAAAGGAAATGGATGGTTCATTTCCTCTCCTTGCTTCACTTCTATTTGTCTATTATTATTATTGTACTATAAACACTTCATTATACCCTGGTAATCAAGGATGTCTTCAGTGTAAGCAAGCATACAGGGGAAGATGCTGCTGAGGAACAGCCCACATAAACAGGTACCAACGTACAAAAAGATGCTGCTGGTGTAGAAAATAAGCAGCATCAACACGGTAACAATAGCACCTGCCTGTAAAAAAACAAAGAGGAGAGAGTATGATCAATTTAATGTTGATATCAATTTTTTGGCCTTGAAGTTTCATCGTGTATGTCTCATCTATAATGAGACCGGGCGACTGGATGATCGCTTTTAGATCCCCCACGCTCTGGAACTCTCTTCTGACTCAAATCAGACACTGCAACTTTTTAACCTCCCTTAAATCTCTTCTTAAAATGCATTTCTTTGTCTTATCCTTTGGTAATGTCTGATATGTGTTTTATCTATATTGTTTTATTTCTAATTACTGTTTTTACATTTTTTTTTGCCTCTTTTCACTTACTGTCAGATCTTTTCGCATAATGTTGATTTGAGATTTTTTTTATTTATACTGTTCTACTCTTTTTATTTTGCTCAGTTATTTTGGATTTTTATTTGGTTTTACTTTTTTCTTGTAAAGCACTTAGTAACTTTGTTAAGAAAAGTGTGTATAAATAAAGTTTATAGGCTTTACCAGGTTGAACATGAGCAGTCTCACAGGCTGGAAACGATATGAGAGCGGTATGGACACCAGACGTCCAGCGGTGATCGCTGCCCAGAAGATACTGGCCAGGTAACCTGCTGTCTTATGAGGCAGTGACATTGGTGGTGTCACAGCATAGGTGTACACAAAGCCGGCATATGCACCCTGAAAAAGAAAAAGCGGGTCCTTTAATGTGATCTACTGTCTGTGAAGCAGATTTTGTACACATTCATAAAATTTTATGCGGAACATAATTTGCAAAGTGCACATCATGTTATTTATCTGTACTCCTCACTCACCACAATACCATCGGTCATGAAGAGCACCATCCCGCCGAGGATATGAATCATAAAGAAGGATACTGGCAGGCCGCGCAGGTTATCATTCTGACAGCAGCTGAAGATATCCCCATGACCTGTAACAGAGCGAAAAGTCACAAATAACAGATTATGCACATAGCATGGCATTTATTGTTTTTTTTTTTCATCTTAGCTGACTGAAATTTAAAGAAAGTATGCATTATTCATTTTGAAATATAGTATAAAAATCACTTCTTTACCTCCAGCTTCATGTTCCTTCTGTTCCACGTCTGGGCCGTCAGCCCCCTGCTGGTTCTCCATTGCTAATTCATCTTTGTCCAGAAGACGAGGAGTGCCGCTGGGGCAGCATGGGATCAGCTGTTCCCGATACATCAGGAACAGGACTGCAATGGGTACAGGCAGCTGAGGATGCACAAAAAAATATTCTGTTTTTACACTTTTGTCATTTCAACTAAAAAACAGATTTAGACTTAAAAACATGGTTCTAAATCTGTTTGTTCAGTGTCGTACATTAATAAGTGCCATGATCCAGAAAGCATAGTGCACAATGGACTCCTCTTCCCCTCCTCCTCCCTCGCTATGAGTTATGTTGTGCTCTGCAATCGGACTGTTTCTCAGCATGTTCCTGAAATGATGCATCATCTCAGTCCCATTCCCCGTGTGATTCCCACAGCCCGTCTCTGAGAGGAAGGGATCTGCAATCAGTGGGCTCACCAGGGCTCCAAACCCAATGAAGAAATGAAGAGCCTGCAAAATGTAGACAAAGACAAAGACCAGAGACATGACTTACTGTTGCTTTTCAAAAATGCAGTATATCCTAACTTGACAATATACTCCTAAAGATCATGTGCACAAAATAATAGTTAATTTGTCTTTGCATATTTGTGGGAAGACAAAAACTATAGATTTTATTTTGCTTGAACCTTCTATTAATTATTAATTGAATGCAAAAGCTGTCATGTTAGTATCTCTATAGATATGGTGTTGGTACTGCAGGCTTTTTTACCTGTAAAAAAACAGCAGAGTCCTTCTGATAGATGGTCACCAGTTGGATGTTAGCAATGGTGTCAATGACACCCATCGCCAAACCGGACACAGCCATGGCGATGGCCAGCAGGAGAACATTATTGCACAGAGGGATGATGGCAAATATTACAGAGATGACGAGAGCAGAGACAAATAAAGCAGCAAGAGCACTGAACAACCTTTAAGAGAGAAAAGAAACAAATACCAGTAATAATGACAGACAATCATTTTGAGAGTTTTATTATAGTATGCACACCAAACAACTGCACAGGAAAGTCTGGGAGATAATATTCCAGTTGTGAGTTCATGATACTTACGTCCGCTTGAAAACACCACCAACAGAGCTGCCAATCAACAAGCAGAACTGCTGGGCAAAGAATACCCAGGTAATCTGACTGAGTGTTGAGTTAGTTTGACATTGCAAGTCCAAAATTGTAGGTCCAAGGAAAGCGATGCAGAGTCCAAAGCTGAAGAAAACACTCCAGTAGGTCAACGTGTGATGGGCATTCCTTTTGAACAGAGTTACAATCCGCTCATCCATAAACATCTTGGCCACAATAAATATAGATGTAGCTCAGTGACACAGACTGCCAATGATTTTTTTTTTTACTTTAACAATCTAAAAATGTCACAGCAGCACTTGAAGTTTTGTGAATGCTTGTTGCAGGATAATGAGCTCCGCAATCTCTTTTTAAAGCTTTTAGCTCCCTCCTCTTTGTGTTGCTTAACTGAAAAGGATGTCCTCTTGAGTTAATGGGTGAAGTGGAGGACCTTCCAACAATAATATGCCTATTTGAATTGCGTCAATGATTGTCAATGAAAAAAAAAAAGAGTCTGTGTTGAAATGCTACCAGAAGGTGTTTATTTATATGTCATGGCACTTCCAACCCTATCAATGGAAAATGTATCATTCAGGAAGAGATGACGCATAGGGTGTAACAAGACAGATTGTCTTTTCTTTCATACCTGGAGAACCCTATGGCACTTATTACAAAAAAAGCTTGTATGCTACAAATTACATAATGTGCTATAAAAATGTCAATGAAATATAAATACAAAGCCGTGACTACAACTGAAACAATGTTATGGAACCATCAATCCCTCTTTATTCTCATACATTCGCCCAGCTCTCTGAATATTACTTTATTTTTTCTTGCCAGCAAGAAATCTAATGTTGTCATTCCTTGCATAGAATTTTGTACAGTGGCTCATTATTGATCAAGTCCAGTGTCCAGTATGTGTCCACAATGTTTGAACTTGTTTATTCTTTCTTTTTAGCCACTCTAGCAAAGCGGCTCTATTGATGGCAGTATTGGTCTCTGTCATTCTACCACTTTGGTCCAGACTGAAATATCTCAAAAACTATTTGATGCCATGATATTATGTTCAAACATTCACGGTCCCAGAGGATGGATGATTTTGGTTATTCTCTAACTCTTCATTTAATATGACCAACAGGTCCAAGTTTTCAGTTATCCTGTGAAATACATCCACTTTTACCAGATGGATTTTGTTCATACATTTATGGTTCCCAGAGGATGGATTTCACCATGAGGTTGACATTGACACAACATTATACCTGCTTAACATCAGCATGTTAGCATTGTTACTGTGAGTGCGTTAGCATGATGACATTTAGCATTTAGCTAAGTCAATGTGATAAAAGGAGGATAAAAGTTTCAATAATGATTGTTGTTGAATTTTATTTTATTTTGCTAATTACTTTTTTCTTCCGCGCGCGCGTGCGCGTGCGTGTGTGTGTGTGTGTGTGTGTGGATCAGCCACCTGCCACAGTGAGGATAGACAATATGTGTGATATGACACTACAATGTTTAGCTTGACCCCATTTCAGAATGGATGTCAACCTGCCAATAAACCAGCAGAAGCCGTGCATCTCAAAGCCACTGCATTATTTAGATATGTGGGAGGCTTACATGTAACTGTTAATTGGGTTTAGAAATGTGTATTCTATAATGAATAATGATGAGTAGTATGCTGTATTACCACGATCTCAATGGTATGAATAAAAGAAAGGACTTAATACCTAATCCCCTTAATGATTGCAGAGGAGAAGCAAAGCTTTACTGGTTGTGGCCAAATATGGGCTTCCGGCAAATCCTGACACAGGCTTATTATTACAAATTTTGTGAACATGCATTATATGTTACTACATGTGTGATTTTATGCTCTGAGTAGTCAATGAATTATCTTTAACGAAAGAAGGGTTTGCTTGGCTCTTGCTGTTGCAGTGGACAAATTTTACTTGATATTTTTTTTCCCCACAATACAGAAATGTAATCCATATCTATAAAAATATTGCAATGATCCTTTGCCATGATTCAATAACTGCACTGATTTCAGCATGCATGCATGACTCACACAGCCTACAGAGAAAAGCTGTGTAACTGATTTGCCAACATCACCTACAAGGTGGAGATGCTGGTCAGGTACTAAACCCTGAGAAATATGTGTGTTTATACAAAAGGCATTCATTAACATCCACTTCCTCTTGTGGAGATATAGCAACACAAGATGACTTCTTCAGGTAATTGTCAACTAACGCAATCTTAGAGGTGTGTAAGAGGATGTTAAAAATCAACAGCAACTTCTGGTTACTGAAGTAGGACATCTGTTTTTGAATGAACTTCTTTACACAGGTTAGATTAGGAAGAGGAATTGGGAATTCACAAAATTATCCATCATCTATGAATAAGCAAATATTGTTCATTTTGAAAGTTTAAGTGCTGGACACAGGAAAAGTCAATTCTCAGTGTATCTTTGCTGGAAGCTGCGAGTTTCTATATCACCTGTGCTGGAAGAGGAACAGCAATATCAAAGTGAGAAATACTCTGTTACATGTAAAGTCCTGCATTTGAAATACTTATATCAAAGTTTGTCGGATATTAACATTAAATATACATAACATACCAAAAGTGAAAGTGCAGAATCATCTATTTCAAATAACATCATATATTGTTTGAGTATAAGTATTGAACCATTATGTGTAAAAATCATTATAATGTTGCAGCAGGTACTACTGGGGAGCTCAATCTATTCATTTGTTGATTACATTTAGTATTTATAATATTAATCTAAAAAATAGCTAGTAAGTAAAGCTGTCAAATAAATGTAGCAGAGTAAAAAAACTGAATATTTGCCTAAAATGTAGTGACGTAGAAGCATAAAGCAGTATAAAATCAAAATCCTCAAGTAAAGTACAACTAGAAATGTGTATCTAACAACAGTACTTGAGTAGATATATGTCATTTCTTTCCACCACTGCATATCACACTTGTGTAAATTGTATATTGTACCGCAATTGGCCTCCAAACTAGTTGTGTATCAATGTCACAGAAATTTGCACAAAATAGCCACCTAATGTCAAACTCTACATCGTTCTACAAAGTGAATCCAGGTCGAACATCCAAGAGAAGTAACAAAGTAACGAAACACATTGCAGTGTAGAGGGGGACTACAAGTTGTGAGCTATTTTCTCCACTAGATGGTGTTAAAGTATTGCATCATTCACAATTCAAAGCAAAATCAATAAGGTTTGCCGCTATATATATTTCTATATAAACATAATTAATCAGCATTTTACACAAAACAATGAAAGGAACAAAGTAATTATAATACATAACGATCACTGTTATTGAATATGTTACTTTTTGTTGCTTTCTCTCTCTCTCCCTCTCACACACACACACACACACACACACACACACACACACACACACACACACACACACAGAGAAACACACTCAGTGCACAGTATCTCTTTTGCAGTCTGACACATGGTTTGCTGATGGCAGCCACATAAAGAGACAAGACATCAGTAACAGGGTTTAAAGTGGACAAAAGCCGTGTTGCCTTGCTCCTCTCCATCTCATCTCCATAGGCTGACATTTAGCCAACTCTCAATCAGAAGCCTGAGACAGTGCCAGGACAATGTGACAGGAATCATAATCTGATTGCTCTATTTTTCCTCACTGCTCTTCCCCCACCCCTGCTGTTTGCTTTATCTATATATTGCGTTTCTTTAGGGTCCAGCTAGCTCGCAGAGCAAAGCACATGTTGCCAGGTATGATAAAAGTGGAGTAAAAGCCTTGAATTACATGCCAATACCTCCAGAGACAGATACATTTCTTCTTAAGTCTTGTGTGTATATTTAATCATATGTGAGACAAACACTTGAATGTCTTTGAGAAGGATGAAGGCACAATATGTTTGTGCATTATTACCTGTCAACTCAGGCGGTTATACATGATTCAGTACATTCAGTACAAGTGAGGAGATTGGCTAAAGTAGACAATACACAGGTTCCTCTTGAAGCAATAAGAAATGTAGCCTATCTGTCACCTATCCACATTTCTCCAGTCAGTCCCCGTAGCCCTGGATGGAAATGCCCTGCAGTGCCCCCCCCCCCCCAACACATCTCCTCAGGCTCAAAATAGAGCAGGGATATGTGGTATGCAAACAGACACGTCTGCAGGGTGAAACAGTGCTAATTCTACAGAGCTCTGTGCTTTCAAACTAGCTGTTGGTGAAGTAGTTAAGACATAAAGCATTTATTAAAGTAAGTGCATGAGTAGATCAAAAATGGGTACAATTATTCAGAGAAATTTGAAGAGTCACTTTCATGTGAAATCATTTCTATGAAACTGATTATAGGGAGCTTTCTCTAGGCAAACTCTTTCTACTTTAGAGATAAGAAGAAAGCAGTCCAAAGATGCTAAAACAGAGATGAAAGTGATCTCATTTTAGCACTGACTAACATCTTGACCTCTTTTTGTGAGATACGCTAAAGTTACATTATTTCACAGGATAGCACGTACCTGTCTAGAAGGTATGTCAGCCTACTAATTTGTTTTGCCATTTCTTTTTTCCACTGAAGGAATCACTATGCTTTTGTACTGCACACAAGTCATATGGAGGTAGTCAGTGGATGGTGGAAGGTGTTAAAGTCACTGTTGACTTATTCAATATTCAACCAACACATAACCATAAAAAAGTTCAATCATGTTTTAGTAACAAGCACATATCGTCTTTCAAGAGCAGAAATTGTAAGGGATATGAATGAATTGCATTCACCTTGTCAATTAACATTTAGCAGATACTGTACATCCAGTATCATTATTTTGCAACCTGGCAAACACATTCAATCTCAATGCTCTTTAATTATGTTGATTAAAAATATTTTCTTCTGAATAACTTCTACATGCCAGGGAAAGCAGAAAAAAATGGCTGATCTTGCAGGAGAGAACTTTTAATCATCCCCAGAGTTATTATGGGAATGCTGTTCTTTCATTGTAATGTTTCCACATTAAGTCTTTCAGAATATAATGAGTTTTGTAGTGTATTGGACTGGGGACAAAGCCTTTTTCTCCAACAGTCCAGCCTTTAATATTATGTGAATACAAGTTTAAGTTCAGTGAAGCGTTGATGCTTATCCAAAGACTTCAGTCAGGAATTCCCACCTAGGATTCTTAAAAGCGCAGCAGCCGATCACATCTGGAGCCCTCTGAAGATAATGGCTTCTGTCAGCCAGTCCCCACTTTGTACTCCAGATGAATGGAGCAATGCTGCATCGTTTGATCCTTGTTAAACTGGCTAACTATACTCCAATGCTCAGTGATGGACTGATCAGACTTACTATGAATTGTATATTAGTGGCCA